GGCATGGTAGAGCGTTTCCATCGACAGCTGAAAGCTTCCCTTTCAGCTACAAACATACCTCAGTGGACCGAGGCTCTGCCTCTAGTCCTACTAGGTATTCGTAACGCGTTGAAAGTTGATGCTGGATGCACTCCTGCAGAACTCGTCTATGGGACCACTCTTCGCCTACCAGGTGAGTTTGTTTCCCCTTCAACTTTCAAACATGTTTCCGACAGGGCATCTTACGTGACTAGGCTTACAAACGCAATGCGTTCAGTTAGGCCTTCTCCGATTAGACCGCAAACGACTGATGTTTTCGTCCACCCCAGTTTACAGAAGACATCACACGTGTTTATTCGCCACGACGCTGTTCGTCGACCACTTGAACCACCCTACGACGAGCCGTTCAAAGTGATTAAGCGACATGAGAAATTCTATGTAATTGAGCGAGGCGGACGCGAAGATACTGTCAGTATCGACCGTTTGAAACCAGCTTATTTCGAAGGCAACCATAAGTGACGTTTCAGCTAGCTACATCCGACCGACGGATGACTCAATTATCGAAATTCTCGACGATGTGCCTGGTAATGCACAGTTACAACAACCATCGGCGCAACAGAAGACACGATCAGGTCGAACCATCAGGTTCCCGGAGTATCTGAAGTCGTATTCAACTTGTAAGTGTAAAATAAAAAGGGGAAGATCATTTTTTTAATTCGCAATATTTTTCGGGGCACTATTTTTCTTACTTACTGGCAATGCGCAAATCCTCGTACATTTTGCCTCTTTATGTCAATTTTTTATGCCATGTAATGAAACTTTTAAAAAAAAGGTGAAAATAAGCGTAAACTTTATTTTCGATATATTTGTACATAAAAAATTCTCATTTTTTTTCGAAGTGTTTTCATGTTATTAAAGACTTTCACTTCTATTCCAGGTGCAACGAGCACTGGAAGGGACGTCGAAGAGAACTGAGGATTGCGATCGACGCATAATTCCATTTGTATTATTTTATTTTTTAATTACCACGACACCCTAAAATAGGTTCAGACAACCAGGAGCCACTTCACGCAGTGAGCCCACCGCAAGTTTTACCAGTGGAGAAACCACTGGCTTTTTACTTACGGCTGGTGTCATCTTAGGGCCCTCACGAATCCACTAGGGGCGGGAGTGATCTGTAGCGTCACACACTTCCTCAAAATCAATAGCCTAGGATTTGACGACTTTCGACATTGATAGTTTAACTGGACTCGATAAGCTGAAGGCACCCGGTCAAGCATCCTCGCCATTTGGCACGCTGTCGTGTTACGTTGCACTGCTCGTATTCGACTCTCTAGCCAGTTAGTTGGAGCGCATCGGTATCTTGGCACAACCATCCAAATATACTATTCCATCCGACTACGCTAATGTGTTCTACCCTGGTCTCGGACTCGTGGGTGTATAACAAGTCCAAATAATTAGTGATTGGCCTTTGCGTCTGTCAAGTTCGCACCAGGACAAATCCTAAATGTCTTCGCTCCTCTCGATAAAAGCGAAAGTAGACATGGAATACCCGAACAATGTTTCGGCCTAGCAACACTGACCAGATTGCAAAAGAGATGAGAAGGTATAGCATAGAAGTGTCGGGAATCTGCAGATGGAATGGAAGTGAACTCTTCAAACTGTCAACTGGAGAGTTAATATTCTACTCCGACATTGGCACCCACACGACAACCACGAGCACACTGAGTTTTCGAGTGGCTATCATGATGTTCCCAACAGCAACGAAGGCTCCCATGCAGTAGGATCAAATCTTCTCCAGGAACAGGATCATGAAAACAAGATTCAAAGAAGAACAGTGGTATGTCACAATCATAGAATGTTACGCACCTAAGCATAACGCAAACGAAGGAAGAAGGAGGGATTCTAAAGACAACAACAATCAATAATGTTCAAGACTCATGTTGGCTACATCAAGAGAAACGAAAGTTACTTGCAGATTACAAGGTGGCCTGCCTCGTCAAACTCCGAAAGAAGGGTGATCTCAGTCTTTGCAAGAACTGGCGCGGAATCACGCTCCTGTCCACCCCAAGCAAAATATTAGGCCACATCATCTTGGAGAGACTAAAGGATGCACTGGATTCAAAATTACGACCGGAATAGGCTGGCTGGCTGGATTCAGGAAGGACAAGTCACATGCGGATCAAATTACAACGCTACGATACACATCATCATAGAACAGAGCATAGAATGGCAGTCCACAGAACCCCAACTTCATTCACTTTGAAAAGGCCTTCGATATCGTCGACTGAGCAGTAATTTGGCAGGCGGCTGACTCAACACTACAGTTTTAGTGTCACAAACCTTTATCAACCTCATTCAACAGCAGCTATACGAAGACGCCACATGCCAAGTGGTTCACAATGCAAAGCTCAATGACGCCTTTGAAGTGAAGACGGGGGAAAGGAGTAAGACAAGGTTGCCATCTACTATCACCAATCATCTTCCTGGTCGTGATCAACTCGACTGGATCATGCAACAAACCGTGAGGAGCGAGAAGACGCATATACGCTGTTCGACCAATGAAAAGACCCTAGAAAATTCGGATTTCGCCGACAATGATGATTTATGTCTAATATCTTATGTCGCACAAACTCGAAGATCTACAGGCGAAAATCAACAAGTTGACAGAAGAGGTGAGGCAGTGAGGACGGGACTCCAGGTGAACGTAGAGAAGACAGAGGTGATGAAGATACCCAACAAACAACAACAACAAGCATCAATCACCATCAAAGGGGAAAACCCAAAGGAAGCAGTCTCTTTCACCTACCTAGGCAGCATCGTTTCAACTACAGGCGACACAGGCACAGATGACGATGTCAAAGTCAGGATCCGAAAGACACCAAGACAGACCTCCCAGCATTAATCTCAAATCAGTGTAGAGATCTACTGCACTGCACTGCACTCAACTCGGCATAAAGCGTGAACAATACCCGGATTTTCAGCACTAATTCAATCAACTCACTGCTCCTATATACTTCAGAGACTTGGCACGTTACGAAAGGCATTTCCAACAAACTACAGACATCATACATCAACACCTGCCGCCTACGCTCACTCACTCCATACTGAAGATAACATGGCCAGAATAATAAGAATAAGCAACAAGGAACTCACTTTGGCTGGCAACGAACCAACCAAGAACGCATGTCCCAACAAATATGCAGAAGAAAGTGGAGATGGATTGGGCATACACTGAGAAGACCATTTGGAGACATCACGTGCCAGGTCAGACCATCGAGTGAAATCCAAAGGGGAAATGACGAGTTGGGCATCCGAGGGTCATATAGAGGAGATCGTGTAAGGAAGAAGTAAAAGCTTCTGGGCAGACGCAGAACCAGGTTGAAAAGACTGCAGAGAAGAGAGTGAAATGGCGACGTGCTACTGAAGCCCTATGTTCCACTCGGAACCCAAAGGAAATATAATAGTAATAATAATAAAGGACTGAACAGCTTCTTAATGGATAGTTTTTAGATAAGCTCCTGACTGGCTTCAGCAAGTAGTTATTACTATTATTTCGACTGTATTTTTCATGTTTACTCCGATCGACAAAAATGATGGGTGACTTTAAAGGCCACCCTAGCAGCTGCTGTACTAACCAATTAGGTTTCAATATTTCGGTTGAGACAGTAACTTTTCATAAAAATAAAGAAATATAATTGGTTTTCCCAAAGGTTGTTAAGGTAGCATTCAAAGTCACTCGTAAGGATGCATTAAATTCAACTGTGAAGTGTACAACATAGCTGTTAGGCCCTGTGAGATTTAGTATCACAGTCTAGCGACGATCATCCACAGGAAAAAAGGTGTATTCAGAAGTCCAAACAAAAAATTCAATGAAGAAAATTAATCAACGTGATTAAAAGGAAACTACACGAGCCAAGGGCGATAAGCATCTTCTAACAAAGTGGATTTGGAGGCCACCTAAACAAATACTTAAGTGATTAATATATGTGTATCTATATTTTGGCTGGAAGGATAGTTTTTTAATGAAATAATAAAGAATATTAATTGCATATTTCAGTAGTTGTTAAGATGGCCTTTAGTGTCACTCCTTTTAATACGGTGTATCTTCACATATCCTAGAGCCTATAACCTTGAGAATTAAACTGCAACCTGCAAACGTAAATAATCAACAACATACATAGTCTGTACTACGTCAAGGGACTCCTTCTTCACAAAAGTTAGTGACAATTCTTAGTTGCTAAGACCTTAGAAGATGGGTCACAGTGAGAAAGCACGATTAAAGCATTAAAATTCGAGTATATCAACGAAACCTATGGTTCAAGTATACAAGCTTTTTACTGCACACTGGCATTTCTGTAGTTTAATCTATTCGGTTGTCTAAATCAAAACCGATGAGTCCAGTAATAGAGACATTTAGAAGCTAATCCTATTAAATATTATGATTACATTCATGCATCCTTTATTAGGTAGTCAGACATCTCGCCAAGTAGCACCATAGATGACGCAAGTTGGAAAATGCCGAACGACCCTTCTATATCTGAGTTAAGATTTCGTCAGCAACCAGCTTCGTTAGGGCTGGTGGAACTATCCAAGTAAGTGAAGTCGTCAATGCATTCCATCACTTAACTCTCCATCACTAAACTGGGAGTAGTTGCAGATCAGTCCTGTAGCATTATCTTACGTTTTACAGAAATTATGAGAGACTATGTATCGACAATTTGCTAAGTCAGACGATTTTCAGATGTCATGTGGATGGGAAATATCAAACAAAACCTGACCGCACTGAAACTATTAACTCTAATAAGAACAGTATTCTGATGATAACTCTTACTTACTGATGACAACCGAATGATGATATCCGATGAAAAATAGTTCAAGACACTCAACGTTAAAGAGTTCGATCAAAAGCATAATAAGGCAATATCATTTCTGGATGCATAGTGATCACTACGAACAGTAAGTATTGAAAAGACTGCACAACTGAAACCAACTGGCATGATAAAAAAAAGTACTACAATTCAATACTGTTTGAATTTATGTGATTTGATTAGATTTACACGTATTCCTTTCAACTCGCCAGCATATGGTTTTTCCTCTTTACGGACAGGTGCAACACGCGATCGATAGCGAATTGTAGCCTTACGGAATTTATGACGAAGATGAACTCTGGGATTACGCTCTCGTTTATGTCGGTATTTCACGATTCCTTTATTTTTCATCATCTGAGAAAAAGACAAAGAAAATTAGGTGATAAATTCTTAGGTATGCATGTCACAAGATCAACAAAACGGCTAAAATTATAAATGAAGACTGATGCGAAGATTAGAATTCCTACGATGACGAAGAGTGAATTCATTGGCAATGACGGTCTCCTAATGATGAGTACTGACAGCAACCGCACTTCAAATCAGTGATCCACTTCGCTAAATTGAACAGACTAACAGCCAGTGACAACACAGACTGTTGTAATTTCTTCATAAGGCCAACATGACCTTTCTTCCAAATTGATTTAGCTTAGCATAGTAGTTTGGTAAACATAACATATAACTAAGCCAATTTATTTACAATATTTTCGTTGAGCTTACTCTCCTTGAAGAAGTCAAAAACTCAACCCAAATAGCCAAAGCTAAGATTTCATTACAAATCAGGAGTGCTATGAAAGCTACTTGCCGTTGAAAACATGTCATTTTCTCAGATCTTTCACCTACAACGATCATATTTTACAGTCGTGCAATAGAACGTCTCTGATAAGCAATTGGATATCTCAGAAATGCAATTCAACGATCAACATGCAAACTCTCGTTATCCGTGATAAAAAAAGTTGTCGTGAACCAGATATCAGACAATAAATTAAACTGAAAACAAACAGACATTTGATTTTCAAACGAAGGTGCACCATAAAATTTCAGGGATGAGCTGTATTAAATTTTTCCAATTTACTAGTAACTGACTCGAAAAGTTTTGACTAATGTATTAGTTCTTTCCTACGGCCACTAAAAGTGACAGCAACCAATACAGAGACTACAGCAAGAAGAAGGGTCACAGCCGAGTAATTGACCAGAAGGTAATGTAGACCTAAAAGTTGGAATCTATATTAGGATTACTAAAAAATGTTTACGAAAACAATTGTATTTAATGTCAGATTATTTAGGAATGTTGTTAGCCGGGAATTTTGGACTCAGGTTTGGTGTTTGTAGCATTCACTAACAGAATATAAGAACTGATTTTCATCTAACCATTCGAACCTGTATCATTCACCCGAAAAACAAAAAAAAATACATGTTCATATTTAGTCATACGGTTTACAGTATTATATTTTAGCAATTAAATCTGTTAACATAATAACATAATGACGATTTTTAGATATGACGACATTCGCTGAATGTTGCATTTACAAAAGTCTGGATCGACGTTTTAATATTTCTACACAATATTCACCTCAACATAAGAAAGAAAACTTGATGAAAGTCAAATATCTATTCAACAAGCTTAAATAGCTAATGAAAGTGATACATACCATAAAATCACTCCCCCAAAAAAACAAACAATCTAACACTAATTTTTAGTGTTCACAAAATCAGAAGCAAATCACACCTTCGGATAAATAAAAATTAAAACAGAGAAAGCCATTCAGACGAGAAGTAAACTAACTTGAGGCCAAATTTTTGGCACTATATGTTACAATGTAAGTTTATGCTAGGTAACACTTGAAGAAGAGCTATTTGCCTATAACAATAATAACAATATCAAGGTGTTCAAAAAAAGCTTAGGATTTCCATATCATAGTTTCACTGAGCTTAATCCATTGTTATCTATGATAGCTAAATTTTCTTTATTTGATTGTATTAGCGCCTAGTAAAAATAACATTAGAAATTTTGATTCTATTCTTAGTTCAAAGATACTAGAAATTAGTGAAATAACGCCAAGTCAACTAACACTTTGTAAACACAGCATAACCAATATCTCAAATAAACAGAAAAACAAATGAGATGCACATTGTTGAAGTGACATTGACTAACCTCTTTGTTTATAGGTCGATTTGGTAGAATATTTGAAAGCTGATTAGCTGTATCTGGTTCAGTTGTATTTTTTTTATTTGGTAATAATCGACTATCATCTGTAACACTGTCATCATCATCATCATCAGATTGACTAGAAATGTAAAATAATACAAAAAAAACTGTTTTTCTCAAGGTTTTGTTGATAAATATTACAATTCTAGTTGGTTGGAGGCAATCGACACGAAGCCCTGGATCTACGTTTCGTGCTTTTTGGCACTTGTCAGCAAGGTGTATCTGCAACCTTGATGAAACTGATGCCCCGTTTGAGATTCGAACCCATGTCAGGCACAGTCCGAGTACATTCATGTATTCAGTAGCGTCATTTGCACGTTCATATCCACAATCCACTTGCTCATTTCTAATATAAACTACTTTTAATTTGATCAGTAGCTGATATACAAGGAACTGATACATGCTTCAACTACTTCAGTTCCTGCAGAAACAAAGACCGACTAAGAATTTGCAATAATCCCTAAATTTTCCTCATTATACAAAACATACCCACTGCGATGGAATTTGTAGTTATACAATTGCATGTTACAGATATTTAGATGACCCATTCATCCTTCATGCAATGCCAATCAGGAAATTTCAATCAAGATTTTCGCATCTGGAAAGAAATGGTATTACTAGCTGATTCGTAAGTATCCTCGAAAATATTGGTCCGAACCGTGCCGGCTTAAGCTACATTTCGATAATAAAGAAGCGAGAACTAACCCCGAGTCAAAATGTAATATAAAACTGTAATTGATTAGCAGTTTTTAAAAATTAAAATAACATTCAAACATTTCGATGTTCCGATTGACACTGACTGAAAAACCAACATAGATCCTCGCATACGAGTGCATCGGTTCAAGTTGCTATACTTCACAGCAGTACAAAAAGAACAGGTGTATAGACAGAGTGATTCAACTGTTAACTGATTTACACTCTTCTCTCGATAGCCATGCAGGATAGTGCTCAGAGATACGTTCGGAAAGTCCGCGGTTTATGCTACCTATTTAACTAGCTCCATAGGAGCTAGGTAGCCTAAAGTGGCAACTTGTCCTTAACTCACTCCGGAACTAGTCGCTGACTAGAAAGCTCATCTGCAGCTTTGCAGAGAAAAATGTTTTCTTCAGCTATCTGCAAATCCGATCCTTCAAAATCTCTGCTGCCCTATCACTTTTGAAACCAGCGTTCATAAACACGGTTTTCTTTCGAAATGTGAGTACTCGCTCCGTATTCTATTTTAAAGTTCTTCCCAATAAATCTTGATGCGTATCCATTTTGCATGAGAATCTTCCATAATTTGTCCAATTCATCGTTGATAGTATCAATCGTGCAGATTCTTCTGATTCTTGAAGATAACGAATGGATCAAGTTCCAGTTTCTGTTAAGAGGCACCCCGAGCTGTGGAAACTCAGGTATTGTCCATTCTATGTAGGGTTCCTATAAATCGATCTCTGGTCTCCATTTCAATAAGACATCGGGAAAGTGGAATTCTGAGTTCTCTTCAAACTCTGATGTGAAGCTGATCGATGGGTGATAATCATTAAACTTTTTAACTACAGTCCCCCTATTTGTATTTTGATCACATATGACGAATGTATCATCCATTTATCTTTTATATAGGTAGAAACTACCAACTGTTGAATGAAACACCATTTCCTAGATTTGCCATAAAGTAATCAGCCAGCAGCGATCCAAGTGGTGACTCCATAGCGACCCCATCTTTTTGTCTACATAGCTCATTGTTGAGTTTGAATTGTACGTTGAAAGTATACCTTAGAAGTAATCCCATTAAATAATGCTTTGCGATACTCACATAAAAATTATTATCTTCGAAGAAATCCACATAGAAGACAGTTTCCGTGAGAACATAAGTGAAGAGAGAAACCACATCCAGAGGAATCATTTGCTTACCAGAGCCGAAGGAATCCAATAAATTATTAAGTATTTAGTTGTTTTCTGACTGGTTGAAGGACGTCCGACAGCCACTTGGCGATAGAATGATATGGTGAATTGTTCATGTCCAACACTGGACGCAGAAGACCATATAAGCGAGGAGTAACAGAACCAGAAGATCGCAACTGTTGGAATAGTTCGGGGCCGCTGATAAACTCATGCTTCATTTTCTTCCGAATCTGGGTGAATTGTGTTCAATTTGCCCAATGGCATCATTTTGAGCAGACTCTAGAAAACTTATCCGATAAGAGACCATTTTCGCGTTATAGTCTGAACGATTCATAAAGACAATACCAGCGCCTCTATCACGACAAACTAGCAGCAAATCTTTATGTTTCAAGATTTCACGCAGTTGCTTTCTATGCTCCTTTGTCAACAATCATTTGCAATATGGCTTCGTATTAAGATATTGATGACATCAATTAAAGGCATTTGATAGCGTAATTAGAAGACGAAGTTTATCGGAACAATTACGCTATCGAAATTCATAAAGACACTTGATTTGAACTATTCAATTCTCTTGTCTGAAACTGGCAGGAGATCACTTGTTTGGTTGATCAGATTTTCAAACTAGACTTTAATATCTAAATTAGTGGCAGTTGCTGAAGGATCATAAAGTTTTGGACCCAAGGATAATACCTGAAGTTGAGTGGGAATCAAATCTACCTTTGAGTAACTGGATACGTATTTTCCCGGTGTTTCCAGAACACTAAAATGTATTTCTGATGGGTTAAAACAACTCGTCAACTTGGATTTAACGTCTTCTGATCGACATTTTGACACCATCTCGATGTGGTCTGTGAAACTGACGCGCTCGTCTTCAGATAGATCGGTTGGTGCATGGAATCTTAATGAGATTACGCTCCACTTCAGGTAATGGTTATTTAATTCAGTGTGTAACACTTTGAAGAATGATGATTTAGACGAATGTGATTTTGATGCAAACGTTTCCAATATGGACTTGGATTTTCGCGTCTATCTATCCAGCTTTTGAGAAAACTTCAGAAACCCATCTAGTTACTTCAAAGTCACAGGGTTTCTGCCTAACTTCAGACGACGAAACATGCCCACCAAGTAATAGGAAAAATAAGAGATAATTCAATGAAGAAAATCTTTTTTGACGACATCATTTTTTAAAGCTGCACAATCCTATATATATATATATATATATATATATATATATATATATATATATATATATATATATATATAATTGCACTACTAAGCTAGTGATTAAAAACTGAAATCAATGGTGGAAAGTAGTCACGTAATAATCTTATAGACAGTAGAAATAACAAGGAAGAGAAGGAGTTTGACGAGATGGAAATTATTGGTAGATAGGAAATACGAAAATTGAGTGTCCACTTGATAGATAGACGTAAAGAAGGTGAAGAATGAGACAAGGGTCATAATGAAGATGGTAATTATAAACTAACTAATTATAATGAAATCGAAAAATTGTTAGTGTTAAGGCCATGGTAAGATAGATTGAACATACTTCTTTTGCACTCAGAGATCAGGTTTGAATTGATGAATTGCCGGTGCTTCTGCTGTGCACAATTGTCAAAGTTGTACTCCTTTTGAACTATTCCATTTGACATGACAAATGACACTGAGGAAGGACTTTGGTCGAGCTATATGTCCAGAGTTGACCGAATGTTCAAGCATTGAACTGTTAACTGATTTACATTCTCCCCTCGACAACCATGCAGGATAGTGCTTAGAGATACGTTTAGAAAAAGTACGCTTTGTGCAAGGGAGAATGTAAATTAACAGTTCAATTCTTGAACATTTGGTCAACTCTGGACATATAGCAAGAACAGTCCTCCTTCAGTGTCAAGGAGGTGTATGAGGGCAGAGGAGATTTAGAAATAAGGTTTAGTCAAAACATTCAAGCTTTAGAAGATGTAAAGGAGTGCATACATTTGCATCATTGTGATTTTCAACTATGTCACTAAGAGTCCTCAAACACTGATTCCTTTCGTCTCCGGGACCTCAGCCACGCAGTCCAAATCTCCCCACATGGCTCAGACCCTCAGTAAGAAATTTCATAGACTAGTGCCACGTCTTTGTCTGGTTACCATGATCCCTCTTCAAAACTAATCCAACGCGGACATACATGAGCCCGTACCAACGAGTTCGGAGTCAGAACGGGTACTCCAGAAAGGGCGACAATCCTTTATCTATTCTCTTCAACGATGGCTTAAAGCAATGTATCTGTATCCATCGTTGGTTTAATGTCGGCGTACGCCAGGTGAGATAGTGTGTTCCCTTATGCCTAAAGTTAGTGGTGGCCAGAAACAAGTGATTTTCGGAAGAAAATTGCAACAGACGATCACCGTTGTCGGTTCCTTGGCATAAGATCCCCTAAATAACCCCACGATACTTTTCTAATTGTCTCAGCTTCCCTATTTGTGCGTCAAAGTCACCTTGTATAATGACTACATCTAAACGTTTTGCTTTCTATTGCAGAGTTGACAGCTTCACATAGAATTCATCCTTCACATCATCTAAGCTACTGTCGGTGGGTGCGTAGGTGGAGATTACGAATAGGCATCGGTTGTTTTGGCGATCCTTCCTAGTTCTTAGAGATCCATTCAGTCGAACAGACTATAGACGGCTGTTTACTGGTATCCAGTCGAGAAGCTTACTTTCTGCTCTACAACTCAATGCCATGCTTACGCTAGCGAGTCCACGAGAGCCAGTCATTGGGTCTTTGGATACTTTTGAGGTAAATTTTGAAGCTTCGCTACTATGGTCATGTGAGGTCAGCCTAACAGCCACATCCGGGTCTTATATAGGTGTCCAAGAGGTATAGAATACATCCATGGCTGGAGATTCCAGAGTTCTGGCTAGCAATGCTTGCTGTTCGATTTAGCATAAGGTTCAGATGTTGAAAGCTTCAGTGTTCAATCGATGGTGAGGTCTTCAAAGACTAGGAATGAGGTTCCGATGGCTTTGGTCATCGGAAATGGTTGCAGAGTGAAGGGTTGGGGAAGGCATAAGAGGCTTAATTTTAGTATCAGGAGTTAAAAGAAGAGGAGGATAGTTTATATTTGATTGGGCCTTGTGTACTACTGAAAGCGTGCTGGCGATTGACACTTTTTGGCTGCCTACACTGTAGAAGGTTATTTCTTCTTAAGGTATCCAAAAAATAAAACAATTTGTGGAACTGCAGAGCCCATGGAAGATCTGCTCGAGGCCTGTCACACATGGCCTTTGGTGGGATGTTGTTTCGAGGTTTAGTTGTTCTAATCCAAGATAGGAGAAACCGAAACCACCGACTCCGGAAAAGCGCGGGGCGAGAAGAGTGTATTATTTATGGGGCCGACCTTCACACAAGGAAGGCAGCATCAGCATGGCACTACTGATCATCCAAGGGGAATACCTTACCGCTGTCACACCCCATCCAGCGAGCAGCAGTACTTCACCCTCAGACCCCCACCTTCGCGTAGTTATTTACACCACAACTGCTTTTCGTTTTACCAAAGAACTTTTCTGGTATTGTAAGACCTCGAGGGAACAGACGTTCCGCCATCATAGCTACTTGGCTATTTGTGATATGTAAGCCCGAACACCACGTTAAGGTAGCAGCTATCGGTCGGGATTTCGCTGTTCGGATTGTAAGTTATATGAAATTATACTTCTAATCACGTATAATGAAATGAAGTATGTTTCTTATGAAGTACACTAAGTGCGAAATGATAAGAAATTCACACTTTAGACATACTAACAATCTTCATAGCTTAAAATCAATCAAAGTGGCGTATATATATATATATATATATATATATATATATATATATATATATATATATATATATATATATATTCATCCGAAGAATTCAGCTGAGATAGGAAAATCGTCAACATTATTTCATTCCCGTTGTGAATGTTAATATTTCCCTTTTTCCCGACCTCATTTAGTGATACTGAGAGATGTAGAAACTATGAATAACGCAATAAACGTGTCACTTTCTAGGTTGCTTAAAGTGAACAGTCGTTAGTTATTGGTATGACCCAGTTGTTAATTAGTCAATACCATCATAAGACCTGGGAGAATTATTGAGTAACTGTTCAAGTCACTAAATCTCAAATCATCCAGTGATTTATGAAACCTTTATCTATTATTAAACATATTAGACAGTAAAATTCACTACATCCATTTCTGTAGTCGTCATAGCAAAATACCTTTGATTGCTAAATAAAGTGTAAAACGTGTATACATGCACTTGATTTTAACTACTGAGTTGCTTTAATTAACATTCCGGTCATAAAAATAGTTTAATACCTACGAATCTACACATTACAAAACCTTACATATTCGAAAAAGAGTGTTTGTATAAATAGAAAGGTACTTGGTGAAAATATTACAAAAATATATGCAAATATTTGAAACAATGAAAAGTACAACCACAAGTAGTGATCTTGTCAAATTCAACACTTTAGAACTATAACTAACACTTACATCTAAAATGACAATAAAATGATTAATCCAAGAGAACAAACATGAAAATCAAATATGATGAATTTGATGACTTTACTAAGGTATATAAAACAGGATTCAGATAACGCTGATTGTAGTCGAGTATCTTTGAAAGTACAAAGACAATCGAATTTCATGGTATAATCAATTTCAACAAATTGAGTTGACTCATAAATGGCAGGATAGTTGGACTGCATTAATATCTACTACTGCACTAAAGGTTAATTCGTAAGATTTTAGAGGTCTTAAGATCCTCTTCAACATACATTAGGACTGACGGAAGAATCATAATAGGAATAGGCCAACTAGAAGGTAGTAGGCAAGAATTTGTGCACTTGTTAGCGTCATCATCATCATCATCATTATCAACATAGGACCAGGCATTACTGCGCAACGGTCCGAGTTGCCACACCTCATATCAGCACATCAAGTAAAAAGGTAGTGAGGTGAAGGATGAAGATAAGTGAATGCAGTCAAAAGAAATATAAAGTACGAGAAGAAAGGAAAGAGGAGTGACAAAATAGTGAGATTCGGTATAGCGTTGTTAAGATGAGGATAATGTGTGTATACATCTGCGCCACTGACGTCGGTTCTCAGCCATATCACATAGGGTCTCCAACCACTGGTTCCTCTTGTCCCGTGGACCCCAACCACCTAGTCTGCATCGTCCTACATGGCTTAAACCAACAGTCAGAGACTCCATACATTGGTGTCATGTTTTAATCTGGCCACCTCGGGCCTTTTTCCAGCCTGAACCCACCTCAGCCAACATTGTGTGACGAGGCAATCGGTGACTAGGCATACGTAACACATGTCCCAACCATCTCAACTTGTTAGCGTCAAGTAATCTTTCTCCCATTAATTTTCAATGTATAGTTTCACTTTCTGTGACATACTCTGGATCCACTTTTTGGTTAAGTATGCATTATAAATTCAATAACATTACAACTAACTATGAAAATAGAACAGAGAAAAATCATCTTCGTTATATATTGAGAAAGAAAATGTTACCTTTTATCATCAGAATGATCACCCATTGTATTAAAATCATTCGTCTGCAAAGAATGAAATCCAAAAAACATGAATCAGTAAATCGCTGTTAAATGAACTGATTTTTATAGGTAGATAGATCGATTTCCAATGATTGGGTCAGCGGTTAGGACTGTAGTTCATCGATAGAAATTTGCGCGTTTAGTTAATTAAATGAAGAATATGGCTCGTTATCTCATACCGAAATCTGTATGCGTTTCTTGTCTTGCATTCAGATAAGAATTATAGTACCTTTAAAGGAATATGTATATGATAAGGCTTTGACTCAAGCCTATCGTGTTAAGGTTACTTGGTTGCATAGTGCAGATTGAATGCATGATTCAGTTTACTGAAAATCAAGTAACTAGATAAATTAGTCACAATTCCTCTAATTAGGTAGATCAGAAGTAAACCAAACACAAGGTATAAATGCAGAAAACTACAAGTTTTCAAAGAATCAATCAAAATATAAATTCAATAACAAGAATTAGAGTTTTTGCGATTGTCCTCGTAAGCCAATAACCTATAATATTTAACCGTCATATTACAACGGAAGTTTGGCACACTTTAATTCACTGAAAGAAAGATAATCAGCAATAACATAACCATGTACACTGGCATAACATAATAAAAATATTAGGTAGAAAATGAACAAGGAAAATTGTCGTCTATGTTGGATCACAAGATAAAACGAAGGACAGACGGTGGTTTGGATGCTAACGTCTACAGAAAACCGACACATTCCACAGGTATCTAAACTTTTAATCATCCCATCTAATGTCAGTTAGGGCAGGCTTGGTCAAATGTCTAAGTGATAGAGCCAGAAAACTGACTAGTCAGTGCAAGGATCTAAACGAGGAACTGAAGCACGTAAAAGAAGCCTTTATAGTTTATAGCTGTCCCCCGCAGTTTATTAAGAAATTCGTACGAACACACAAGAGACGAAATAATAACAGTAACACGAGTACGAATAATAACGACAACATGAGTAGAAAGGAGTTCATAGCCTCCATTGTGTTACTCTATAAAGAAGTTACATCAGAAACTTTACGTAGGATCCTCAATAACGCTGGAACTAGGGTGGCATTATAACCTACAGACTCAACCAGAGATAAGCTTTGCCGGCTGGCTTAAGGATCAGATAGAACCAATCAAGCAGAATAATCTGGTCTGTCAAATTCCATGTAATGATTGCGAAGTCAATTACATTGATCGCAGATGCACAACATTGGTCAAAGTAGCCGGTCAGGGTCAATTAGAATAGCGGAACATAAGAATTTAGCTAAATATAGAATGACAGACTTGAATAAGATTAATAATCTAGGAAAAACTCAACTATTGCAATCCATGCATTAAAACACAACCACACAATAGGGTGGGATGAAACCACTATACTTAAGTCTAACATAATTAGGTGGAGATCGGGAGAGATTGATTAATGAATCTTTCTTTATCGAATCAACCAACATCCAGCACATGTAATAGAAATGACGCAACACCCATGCATACCAGAGATACTGAAAATTTTACTACCAATAGGAACAAAGAATAAGAGATGACAGGACTATAAAAAAGCAGATGTCGAAGGTAATGTGATTACACATTGATATGGTTATGAGCAATGATAAGTCATGCTCGAAACGTCACCAAGTAATTAATGCTGTATCACTGTGTTATAGATCAAATAAGAGAATCTAGTATGGTACTAACCTTTTCATTTTCACAATATTATTCTCTCTATTATCTCGATAACTCTCATTTTGTTTCTAGCTCCAACCATATGAGGTACATATTTGTAAAACTTTAATATCTCATTCTAAGTTCATACTTTTGGAACTTCTCACCGTATTATACTTGTAATTGTTCAACATAGGTTAAGTTCTTTTGAGTTTATACTTAGTCACCTATTGTATTTTGATGTCTTAATATCAAATATCGCAAACAGGTCGATGAGAAGCAAACAAAATAAGTTGAAATGATGCAAATCTACTATAGCCGTTAGATTCGGCTATTTTGCACGGATAACTGAAGATTTGTGTGTGAAACTAACAATTTGTTCATAGAATTATATTTGGTATATACGGTATATCAATTGGTATTTGACACATTGCAAAGAAAGCTAGGAGTTCGTTTATGGAACGGAAGCGGTAGTCGTATACGATTACATTTAATGAGATTTCAGTCTTCATAAACCTATCTGTTCTCCCTGCTTTACAGAGATTTATCAGTGAAACCAGTTTGATGAGGAAATATTTAGTGAATAATGAATAGACCATACTTTTTTTCGCGACTGCACCTGACACCAACGAAAAGTTCACTGAGACCACTAGGATAACATGTGTGAAATATTTTTGGTCGATAATCCTTTAGTGTTATATGTTACTCTCCACTGAACAATAAACTCCATTTTAGGTGGAACACAAACTGATAATAACACTATCCAATAGATATTATCACTGAGTAAAGCGATATTGTGTTGGATTCAGCACAAGAAACCGTAGAGATTAACAACGGGCGAGTACTTTTTTATGACTATGCACAACTAGTCGTTTGATGATAGACAAGGACTGGTGTCCAAACTCATAGAACCGTAGGCTTGGATGATTTAAAGTACTTCAAGGGTGAACACCTAAAATTGACGAATTATAACATAAAAACTTCGTCTTATGAAGTTGAGGTCAGGCAAAGAGTACTAAGCAAGATGGGGAAGTCGATTCAAGTTTGTGAACCTTCATTGATTGAGATGGCTTGGAAATGTACTCCGCATCCCAAGATATCACCTACCACGACGTCCTATGCTAGAATAAGTTAGATTAGGTTGAAAAAAATGTTCAGGGTGATCAGATAAAGACGTGGCACTAGACTATGAGGTGCCTAACTGTTGGTCTGAGTTGAATGGGGAGATGTAGACTACCAGGCTGGGGTCTGCGAGACAATAGGAATTAGTGGTTGAGGACTCTTGGTGACACGGTTAAAAATCAGTCACAATGGTCCAGTTGTATTCACTCCATGATGTCATCTAAAGCTTGATCTCCACATCGTTTATTTTCTCATACACCTTTGTCACCTATGATATAAGTTTTTTTTTCTATTCACGTGTTTTTTGTATACTACTATGAAGTATGGCAACTTAAACCGATCCACCTGTATCCAAGGTTCTACGATAACTTTGTTTGTCTGTCTTTATCAAGTACTAGGATTAGAATGCAAATTGATACCAATAAGTTTAAAAGTAAATATAACGCAAGTGTAAGATAACTACCTATGTAAATAGACTTACAGCATGTTTCATCTTTTGCCGAATATTTTTCAATTCATTTACAGGTAATAAAGCTTTTAAACTGAAAATGAAAGGAAATGTTGTGTTAGTAATATGTTTCGAAATGAACTTGTATAATATACATATGGTTCCGACAATTGTCAAATACATTCTTCTCAGTTTACTGAAGTACCTTCTATACCTTTTTATAACAAACAGTATATATTTTACAAGTTGTAAAACAGCTGAGGAGAATCCATGAAATAACATGGGAGTAAATACTGCAACTATTGTTCATGAAATGAAAGAATTATAGGCTATTCTTGTGCATTCAACACAGATTAAGAGCAGTTCTTATCAACTACATTAAACTAATTTAAACATCCCCTCCCTTGGCTTGATGTTGCGCTCTACATCAACATACTACTGTACATTCACTTTAAGAGATTAAGCCGTTTATATCCACTAAGACTAGATGTTGAACAATCATTAAAACATCAAAACGTTCGAATCATATGTGAATGTTCTTTTTAAATCATGAAATTAATTTAAAACTTATAACATTATATCTCCATGTGAAACACAATATTACAACAAGTACTGGTTCAATAATATTCATGAAAAAGAGAACAGTGATCCCTTATATCTTACCATTGTTCTCTTAAATTTGGATCCTTGATAGAAGAAGTGAAAGTGTTTGGGTTGAGAGTGATTGGTTTACCAGATGATGAAACTTTATTTATAAACTGAATAAGGCGATTCCCCACAATATTAAAAAAGCCAACATCTTCAGCTAAACAATTGAGTCTCTCCTAAAAAATAATGCCAAACATTTATCATAAGGATTATGAATTACAACTTATTTAGGAAGACGACAATCTGTTAAGAAAACCAAGAAAGAAATAGTTGTGCATAAACCAACGGCATCCAGATGAAACCAAAGTACTTATCCGACAGTCGGTTACATATATAGTTGGTATTATTCAAACAAGGTTTTGAAAGAAGTGTACTACATACCGCCTAACTGGTTCAAAATTTTAAGGATTTTACCAATTGCATATCACAAAAATCATGAGAGATCAACTAAACAAGTTAAATGCTTATATTTAGATAATAATGGTGTAACCACTGCAATTATTTTTGTAGTTTATATAGTCTACGTCAGCCATATCATTACTTGGAAACTTGAAATAGACAAAGATAAGAGATTATTTCAAATGACAACCAGTAAGTTAAGGGTTGTAGAAATGCTTCGCTTACAAAGCCTTATACAGTCAGGTAGTATAGTGAACCCTAAGACAATAATTGTGATTTATAATTTAAAGCCCAAATACACATGAAATCTCCGAGTTATATTAATATATCTTTTTACTGGATTATTTCAATTCCTCGATATTATTAAGTTTCTACTCGAGATCGAAACACTCTCAGAAACATTGCGCACATTCGTGCAGTAGCCAATGAGCCACACCTACTGTGTGAGGACTTACGATATTAGGTGGCTGATCAGACCTCCGTAGATGAAGCAGTGTTCGAACTCATGAAAGTTAAATCCTATTCACTCTCTCTTCTTTCGAATAAGATTTATATATATATATATATATATATATATATATATATATATATATATATATATATGAATGTACGGCTCGGAAAAAAATTCGTCGAAAGGAGTCCCCTCGCTGAATATCTCGTTATTGATGGTACAATGGGAATTACTAAATTATGTCTATAAGTGTAAAATTTTAGCATCGTGGTAGAATGTAATTCTATATTAAGTTTCTTTATTTGATACAGCACAGTGTTACAGTATTATTTACTTGATGACTTTTCGAGCATAAATTACTGCTCATAGTCATATCAATGATCATTTCAATTTTATGCAGTTAACTGGACCACAAATTTGATTTTTCCATTTCTTTATTCTATAATCATTTTACTCTTGCTTATAGTTTATGGTAAGAAAGAAAGTTGGGTAAATTTGCCGCTTAGATTAATAATCTATACCGACTGCGATGACTGTGAAATGTACTCCGCATTTCGAACTATCATCTGCATCAGTACATGATGCTATCAGGAAAAGGTTAAGGTTGGTTAGGCTAAAATGGTCCACCACGACATAAGGTGATTGACTATCGATTTGAGTCTAGTAAAAAAGTACAAGTTTCCTGGCTTTTGCAGTGCATACCTTAGAAATTGGCGATTACACGTGCTACTAGAGGCAGTTAAAAGCATATTATTCTGACGCAGATCCATTTAAAATCAACAAGTTGACAGAAGAGGTGAGGCAGTGAGGACGGGACTCCAGGTGAACGTAGAGAAGACAGAGGTGATGAAGATACCCAACAAACAACAACAACAAGCATCAATCACCATCAAAGGGGAAAACCCAAAGGAAGCAGTCTCTTTCACCTACCTAGGCAGCATCGTTTCAACTACAGGCGACACAGGCACAGATGACGATGTCAAAGTCAGGATCCGAAAGACACCAAGACAGACCTCCCAGCATTAATCTCAAATCAGTGTAGAGATCTACTGCACTGCACTGCACTCAACTCGGCATAAAGCGTGAACAATACCCGGATTTTCAGCACTAATTCAATCAACTCACTGCTCCTATATACTTCAGAGACTTGGCACGTTACGAAAGGCATTTCCAACAAACTACAGACATCATACATCAACACCTGCCGCCTACGCTCACTCACTCCATACTGAAGATAACATGGCCAGAATAATAAGAATAAGCAACAAGGAACTCACTTTGGCTGGCAACGAACCAACCAAGAACTCATGTCCCAACAAATATGCAGAAGAAAGTGGAGATGGATTGGGCATACACTGAGAAGACCATTTGGAGACATCACGTGCCAGGTCAGACCATCGAGTGAAATCCAAAGGGGAAATGACGAGTTGGGCATCCGAGGGTCATATAGAGGAGATCGTGTAAGGAAGAAGTAAAAGCTTCTGGGCAGACGCAGAACCAGGTTGAAAAGACTGCAGAGAAGAGAGTGAAATGGCGACGTGCTACTGAAGCCCTATGTTCCACTCGGAACCCAAAGGAAATATAATAGTAATAATAATAAAGGACTGAACAGCTTCTTAATGGATAGTTTTTAGATAAGCTCCTGACTGGCTTCAGCAAGTAGTTATTACTATTATTTCGACTGTATTTTTCATGTTTACTCCGATCGACAAAAATGATGGGTGACTTTAAAGGCCACCCTAGCAGCTGCTGTACTAACCAATTAGGTTTCAATATTTCGGTTGAGACAGTAACTTTTCATAAAAATAAAGAAATATAATTGGTTTTCCCAAAGGTTGTTAAGGTAGCATTCAAAGTCACTCGTAAGGATGCATTAAATTCAACTGTGAAGTGTACAACATAGCTGTTAGGCCCTGTGAGATTTAGTATCACAGTCTAGCGACGATCATCCACAGGAAAAAAGGTGTATTCAGAAGTCCAAACAAAAAATTCAATGAAGAAAATTAATCAACGTGATTAAAAGGAAACTACACGAGCCAAGGGCGATAAGCATCTTCTAACAAAGTGGATTTGGAGGCCACCTAAACAAATACTTAAGTGATTAATATATGTGTATCTATATTTTGGCTGGAAGGATAGTTTTTTAATGAAATAATAAAGAATATTAATTGCATATTTCAGTAGTTGTTAAGATGGCCTTTAGTGTCACTCCTTTTAATACGGTGTATCTTCACATATCCTAGAGCCTATAACCTTGAGAATTAAACTGCAACCTGCAAACGTAAATAATCAACAACATACATAGTCTGTACTACGTCAAGGGACTCCTTCTTCACAAAAGTTAGTGACAATTCTTAGTTGCTAAGACCTTAGAAGATGGGTCACAGTGAGAAAGCACGATTAAAGCATTAAAATTCGAGTATATCAACGAAACCTATGGTTCAAGTATACAAGCTTTTTACTGCACACTGGCATTTCTGTAGTTTAATCTATTCGGTTGTCTAAATCAAAACCGATGAGTCCAGTAATAGAGACATTTAGAAGCTAATCCTATTAAATATTAAGATTACATTCATGCAAATACAAAGGAGACAAATGTCAGTATACACTGACATATGCAAGCGGTTTCGCATATCAAACCTGCAAAACGATTAGTGAAGAGTATTTGCAATATAAACAGATAACGGATTCAGTTTGAGACGAAATTAGACATCATTTCCATAAATGACAGCATAGATAAGTAATCAAATAATTTTTCCGGCGAATTAATAACTTTGAAAATAATTTTCATTAGGAACTAACTTCCATTAAAATAACAATCAAAATCTAAGAACAATGAACAATTTGTTTTAGTTTGCAAACCCTCATTTATGAGTATAAAATTAAACTCAGTTAACTCCAGTTTCAATGGTTAACGAGCCAATATCCTAAAACCAACCTTTCTTAAATTCACAAACCACAGTACTAAGCTTTCACACAAATCAACAACTAATTCGATTTAAGCGTACAGTCATTAGCTTAGATCTCACAACCAATGATAGTATATCTCAATAAAAACTTTAAAAGGCCTACATTTTCTCGGTAAGTCCCTTACTACTGCTCAGGAAAGCGAATGCAATAATTCAGATGATTTTAAGTGTTATTGTTGAATATTTTGATCCAACTGTCTTGTTCTGTATTCTTCACCTTTTCCGTGATATCCAACATTGCTTTAACTCAGAGTAAACCCTTCCCTTAAAATTCTTATCCGTGACAGCTTGCTTCAGCTGTGCGCTACTTCATTGTACCACATTATATGGCATCAAATTTCTCCTTTTCTATATTGTTTTAATCGTTCAGTTATGTGGACCCATCGTATTGTATATTGTCGCACGTTTTTAAAATCATTACAACCTATCGCTTTACAACTTAATAGGCAAATTAAGAAACAGCGCGACAGTGAATGGCAACGGGCTCTCAAGCTTATGACCATAGATCAAATGACCATTCCAGAAATACTTAGCACAAACTGCAGGTCGTTATCCAATAAAGTTGATTACCTTCAGTCAGTCTTGTCCACAAATGTCTATCGAAACACGGCTGTAATAATGCTACAGGAAAGATGGCTTCATAACTTGTATGATGATGATTTAGTCTGGTTAAATGGTTTCAAATTATTTCGACAAGATCGAAGCTTTTCGAAGAAAAGTGGTGAGTCAGTAGCAACATTTATCAACGCAAGCTGATCCTCCTCCAATTATGTATACTTGTGCTTCTCTAACGAAAAAATTTAGTGCATTACCATTGAATGTCGTCCCAAACACTTGAAGAAATACAAACATATATGCTTAACAAACGTTGATGTCACGCCTGACTTCAGTTTCTTAGATTTGTTAACTTCTGCTCATGAATTAACTGAATTTGGTGCTCCGGTTCTGCGTAACTGCTTGTCGATAGTCTGTGGAGATTTTAACTCATGTGACTGCAGTTTTCTGGTACCATTGGATCATGAAAATATGGTTAACGTTTCCACTCTTCTTCACAACACCATAGACTTAGTACTTACAAATAAAAGTGGTATATATATGAAGCTCGTAAACGGACAGCGATTCGTGACCACTAAATTGTACGTGTTTTACCTAAAGTGTACGGCAAATTACACAATAAGGCTTCTGGATACCTTTCGATGAAAGTCTAGTATAGATTGCATTCATAAGAGAATATATAAAGTTTGTTCATAGAATAGACTGGGATATATTTGCTGACGAAGTTTTATACGACACTATCACCAATATCACAAGCTATCTCAGATTCTCTCTCGATATCTACTGCCCTCCCGAAACTATCTGCATGAGATTCTACAATGAACTTCCTCTTCTCATCCATCTCAAGAGGCTCCAAAGCGAAAAGGAAAGGTTGTATAAGGCGAGAAATCACCCTGGCGTTAAAAGACTTCACTACCTAATTAAATCTGAAATACAAAGTGTGAATACTATTTACAACCAGAAGTTTCTATCGTGTACGAACTCTTCCAAAATATGAAAATTATTTCAAGGGCTTAGGGTTAGGGTAGAGAGAAAACAGATGACAAGAGGAGCTTGTTCGGATGTCTGTGCGTTAAGCAAGCCATGAACACATCGGCAAGCTAACTTCATCATTCTAAATGCTCAAAGTCAAGCGGACAGCTGCTTCCCAGGCCTCATAACACATAATGTATTCAAATATCTTGAATCCCTGAATCTATCCGAAAGCTCAGGTGCCGGTGGTGTTTCAAGTATTATATTTAGAAAATGTGCAGATTTTTTCAATGCATTGTTTTCTAAAAACATAATACTCGCTAGTTGGAAGGAGATGCGAATTGTACTCGTGCTTAAGTCATCTTGTGGATCAGATGTTACGTTTCGACCCATCGCTATAAGTTCCCGTTTTTGAAGGCCATGAAGAAATTACTTCTCCTTGTGCTTGAAACTTCATTAGAAGCTTTCAGATGTCCGAAACAACTTTCTCACAAACACAGGAGAAGAACTTTAAATGCTACCACTGCCTTGAATCATAATATTGTTTTTAGTCTGGACAAAGGTGTTAAGTATATTGGTTGTATCTTTTTGGATTACTCATCAACCTTAGGATCTGTTCCTAGACCATTCTAGTTAAATAAGCTTGCGATAGCTCATACTGAGCCATGAGTTACAAAGTGGCTGTGTTCTTATTCGTCCGAAGGGAAACAGAATACCGTCTGTAAAGGGAGGCACCGCACTTCATTGCTTACTGGAGCTGGTGTGCCTCAAAGTGCTATACTTTCTCCTGTTCCGTTCCCGTCCTTTTTACACAATTTCCCTTTTTCTGTTGAAACCAATTTTATGCAGTATGCTGATGACCCAATGGTGTGTATTCCAGTTAACTCTCACTTAGATTGCTCTAAATTAAATGGATTCATGGCTACAGTTGACTGATGGTCTCAAGTTAAAGCCTTCTAAATGTGAGACTGTTAATTTTAGCCTCAGGTGAAGTAAACAACACTTGTGTGAGCTGCTTAAGTCCGATGACGTCTATTGGATTGATGTTGGTTCTGCAGAAAGTAAGTCGAGTGTCGACTGTCTTGGGTTGATATTCACCATTGATCTTTGTTGGTCATCCCATATCTTGTCGACTTTCAAGAAAATGTTTCGTTTAACGCATTACATAAAGAAACTGAAGCTCTGTGTTATAACTCCAACCTCTTCTTTTACAATTTATTAATTCATGCATTTTATCTATTCTTCTATATTGTTCCCCATTGGTCTTTGCTGGTCTTCTAAAAAAGGACTATGTTATGAGGTGTGCTTCTGGCTCAACTGATTCACACTGGAGTTAACAGAAATTTAAATTCCAGCAAGCAACCAGCTACAGTAATTTTAACTGACACTGAGCAACCCACTTCATTCACAGCTCTCTCCTTGTACCTCATCAAAAAGGACAAAAAGAAATCTCATGTATAACTAAATACAAGAATTCGATTTTGCCTTACTTAGGAATCACATTATGTGAGAAAAAAGGTGTTAGAGCAGAACTCACACATCAACTTTGTAATAGTCAATAATCTCATTTCAATAATTCAATAAACAGTGCGAAATGTTCTTGTTTTTAGTATTCTTCACATTACTTAAATTTTCGTAATAACACATTTTGAAATATTTTAAAGGGGTTTAAACACATATTTTGTTGTTATTGCAATACATCATGCTGAAAATTCCGAATTGTACCAAAAATTGTTTGCAATAAAGTGATTATTATTATTACTACTACTATTATTATTATTATTATCCACTTATACAATTTCTAGTTGACAAACACTTCCTTCAAGAAAGCCATACATCTGTGCCACATTCAACTCACCTATTTTGAATGACTTTTAGGCTGACAACACAACGTTCGGACCATTGTGCAGATCAGATATGATTAACAAGGAATCTAGGTAGTATTCCTGCTGATCTACGCTGATTCTAAGAGACTCATGTACAGAATCCTGGTGAAGTGTTTCAAATAACTCGTAAATGTCAGCTCGAAATCTGGGTTCACAAAATGTTTAAGCAAGAACCATATGATATCGGCATCATATATATATATATATATATATATATATATATATATATATGTCTAAAAACAATACCCGCTGATTGGAAGGAGATCAAAATTGTACTTGTGCCTAAGTCATTTTCTGGATAAGATGTTACGTTTTGACCCATCGCTGTAAGTTCTCCTTTTTGAAGATTATTATTAATATTATTATTAGTCCCTTGGTTTTCTAGTGGAACATACGGTTTTGGTAGCACGTCTCTACTACACTCTGTTTTCTGCAATCTTTTAAACCTGGCTCCACGACAGCCCAGAAGCTCTCATTTCTTCCTCACACCATCTCCTCCATGTCATCCTTAGCTGGGACGCCTAACTAGTCGTTTCTCATCTGGGTTCCGTCTAAGGGCCTGGCACTTGATGTCTCCGAACGGTCTTTTCAGTGCATGCCCAATTCACTTCCACTTTCTTCTCCTGCAAATTTGTTGAACGATAGGTTATTGGTTGGTTCGTTGCCAGAGTTCCTTGTTGCTTATTCTTTGTGGCCATCTGATCTTCAGTCACGGGCGTAGACTATGAAGAAATTACTTCTCCTTGTGCTTGATATATATATATATATATATATATATATATATATATATATATATATATATATATACGTGCCACAGACAAAAGAGCACTGGTTGACTGAATCGTTAACAGTCGTTAGCGTGTTCTCATATGAAAACATTCGTTTGGACTAAAGAGTAACCAGTAAAAGAGGCAATATCTCTTCACCGCCTTTGGCTGTGCTTTGATAGACGGACTGTAATCTGGGTATAGTTAAGGATAACCGAAACAATCAACTAAGTTATAGTCCTTAACAAGTGGGATCGACATGGCGGTGCTAGCAGGAAACTTGAATACCCATTTCGGGAGACTTGGATTAGATGAGAGTCGTCTGGGTGACCCCCAGAGATTAGCCAGTTGCAGATTGAATGCTCTGTGATTTGCACCGAAAAAATATGTAGCGGTTTACAAGACTGACAGAAGCCCGTAAATGAACATACCCTTGACGGTTAAGCATTGCAAGTAGTCGAAAAGTCAGTGTACATTGGTAGATGTTTGAGTGTTGATGGTGAATATGTGACCGACGAGATTTGTAATCGCATATAGACCGGAGCGGTATACACTAGTCTGGATCATTTTTGGGATCGTCAAGACGCTAAGTTGTTTGCATAAGATCGAGTGTACAATGTATTGGTTTGAAGAGTTCTCCTCTACACCTGTGAAACCTAGCCTCTCTGAGTTGAGGGTACCCGACAACTCTATGTTCTCGACTACTCTAGTTTCAAAAGGACTGCTTGCATCATGCTGAAACACCATGTAAGTATTTTCAGTTGAGGTGGCACATGTTTAGACGTTATGGGGATCATCACTCATTGAGTGTAGTCCTCTAGAAATACTGGCTTCAGTGATTTAGACAAGTGTTAGGAACGTTGTCTAGGCAGTTTTCACATCGTTTTCTCTTTACTAACTGTAGGACCGTTGCAAGAGGCGATAAGGTGATCGCATAACGAGGCAACGTGCCTGACCACTTTGCACTGAACTTTTGTTAAAAATAAATAGTAATATAATGATTGAAATGAATCTTCTATTAACTATGATTAGTCTGGTGCCGAACTTATGACTTTCTACTTGCACTCTAGAGAATTTGCGGTGAAAATTATTGTTATACAGTAGTCATTTGATTAAATATTTTACGAGTATCAATCTGAGATACTAGGCAAGACAAAGATTCATAAAACTGGATAAATGTACCAAGTTGGTAAGTATTATAACTCGGTAACTTGGTGAATACAGTAAGATTTAAAACTCTTTGATATGCTCATATAAAGGATCATGTGTAGACCTCTGAAAAGTACAAGTGTTTTTCGAAACAGCATTTCAGTGCATATCAGTTTATAGGGCTTATGTACAATATATGTCAGAAACCATCCTCAAACGAGACGCTACTTAGTCAGTGGACAGAAAGACACCAAAGACAACTCTATGAATGTGATATATAATTTCAATCCTACTTAGGGCTTGAAAAACAATAGTTTTTTATTTGTCTGCTAGTTTGTAACCAAAACACTAAATGCTACCGATTATTCTGACGAGTAATGCTTCGAGGTGATCGATGACCATAAAACTGTTAAATACATCATGGTATGACGTAACTTTGAAAAACTAGAAAATTCAGATATCAATCTCAGTTACATGTGACTGTCCAAATTATAACGGATATTCTTCATTCTTTAATCAACAGTATAAACAGCTGCAATCCCTATATAACCTGTTTTAATCGTAAAGTAGCGTAGTTCTGTTTTTTCAGATAAAACTGACCTTTCTGAATCAATTCCATCAAAAGAATTCGATAACTGTGAATACTATAACACTTATGAATAATAAGAAGATACAAATTCTAATTGGTAGCACATTACAGAGATAGATAGATATACAGCAGAATCATACCTTATGGTGTTCTTCAAGTTCATGATGTATAGGGTTGTGATGAAAAGCTGGAGTATACTGCAACCGGTGGGTAAAGTAAGACTGTAATAAACTGGCGTACCTGGTATATAAAAAGGGAAAATATAATTGTCAACAATAAATAAAAAATTGTTAAAACTATCTCACATCAAATAACTAATAAAGGTAGTAGTACTAGACCGACAGGAGAAGGAAGCCATTATAGTTTTTAGGTGTAAACTATCAAGTAGGAAAATCGGTCGATGAGTTCTACGCTCCTGAGACGACAGCAGTGGAATATGCATACTCAAACATCATAAAACCAGACTGGCCACATTGCATAGACAGAGTGTAGAAAATAAGAAGCTTCCAAGTGGTCTGACAAGTTGATTACTAGTAATAACCAAGTGAAGAATAGTATGCATTTTAACCGCTACTCGAATCTAGTGACTGGGAACGTTAGGTAAAAAAGCTAAAAGCATTGAAGTGAATATATCGTCTGCATACCTTGCTACATGTAGTTAACATATCACTTTACTGCAATTGGCTCCCAAATTATACTGTCTGCGTATTCCTTCATTTCACATTATTATTACTGGTACTAGTATACCTCCACTGAGATCATTTTTTGGTAGTTGGAGTACTTTACAGGACAATGCACCTTCAGACCACGCTTCATGTTGTATCAAAGCACTTGCTGACCATAGTAGCATATTTGTATCATAAAGCTCATCATAACAATGAAAGGAGACCAAAAGAGAACAAAAACAACCAAACATAAGGTGTGGATAAATCAAATTCATTGGGTCGTAAACTTTGCGAAAGGTATTACTGCACTGATTCCCAAAGTGCCTAACAGAGCAGTCTCTATAACCGCAGTCAGACTAAGCTTTCTTATGCAGTTCAAACCATCAATCAGCAGATTTATCCACTCAAAAGGTGTAAAAAGAGTGGTATTAAAGTAGGTAAAAATGTAAGGTAGGAAAGAGAATTTAAAAACTGAAAGTTGGTGAAATTGTTCAAACCTTCGAAAATGTTAAAGGGTGAATACATGCGCACCACTGTAACCGATTTCCCACAACTCCACCATGAGTTTCCAGCCATTGATTCTCATTATATTGAAAACTCCATTAGTTTTGTTTCACTTCTCGATAAAAAATGAGACAAAGAAAGACGAAGTATAGTCACAACTTATTTCTAGTCTAAGTAGTGTTTAATATTGTCTGTCAGCGAGTCGCATAGTCTCACAAGCCTTATTCAAGAAGGCTCGAGGTAGTGCAATAAAACCACTCTATCTCACCATCTCTTCGCTTTTTTCAATCAATCCCACAGCTAGTAGACAGCAAACAGCTTTAGATTTAATCCATATATCGTTAAACTATACAAAAAATGAGCAACTTATAGCAATTTACCTACTTATTATGATAAGGACTCTATAATCGGAAGTAGATCGAGATTTGCTAGCATTCTCAGGTAAACCCCTGGTTCAACTAGGGGGACAACTGGATTACTGCAAAACCTCACATTACTTCAAGCCACGTTTTATAGGCGTATAATAAGAGAAAGCATTCAAAAGTAAATAGAAAACGAAACGAAACGCCTTCAGCCGGCTTGTGCACATTCATGCAGTAGGCAATGAGTCACACCTATTGTGTGAGAGTTAGTGATACCACCAGGCTACCCAAACCTCAGTAGGTGGAGCGGGGTTCGAGCTCGTGACCCACTGGTTGATAATCATCTCCTTAAACTATAGCAAAAAGATAAGCAAACAAAAGAGATGGGCACAAGTGAACAGGTATAAGTCAGTACAACGTATAGACGTAAAACGTATAAAAACTTTAACATCAGACTGAAAGCATCTGGGTCACCCCAATTGATTTCCACCTATATCCGATAAGGCTTGTAATCCCTAGTGTCCATGACCTAAAAGGTAGAAATCCAGGTCTGTACTTTCCTGCAGCCTATCATAAATTAGTGATTCTGCTAGGTAATGAAAAAATTCGGCGCTACGACAGATACACTGAAAGGAAGAACTGATCAAAACCACATATTTCAGCATTTATTCGAGTCTCTACATAGTGTGTAATTCTGTGTGGGTTTTAAACACCACGTGGTTTTCTGGGCATTTAGTTACTGTTACAGTGCAGAGTTGTGAGAACAAACGATCATAACTAACGATCGATAGTCTAGGGTTGAGACGGTTCAACCCGAGTGTTTGCAAAGAAAAACCAAAAGAACGGTAATTAACTGAGTTTATAGTTGGCGTGTTAGAGCCTATAGTGAGATGTCCGTCAATCCATATCTATCCTGCAGCAACAATTTGCATTTGATTGGTCAGAAACGCATTTCAAACGCTCCCAAACTACCACTCAAGGTGCCAAAACCAGTGCATCCTGTCGGTGTCTTCATCTAGCAGGACTATGTCAGCTGTTTACCCCACGTCTATTCAGAAGTTTTTTGTGACAAATTCGCTTCCGATGAAGTCAGACAGGGAGAAGGAGGCCATAAGTGCATGTGACAAAGTTAAATAAGTATAGAAAGTGGACACCCCTGATGAATACCACTTGACTTAGGCAACTCACCTAATGCCTAAACACTGATGTGAACATACCCACTGGTGTTCGAATACAGTCTTCAGCAGGACAATATACTTTTCTGGCACCTTTCAACAAGCGACAATGCCATAAGATCTGTCGATCAACGGAGTCAAATGCTGCCTTCAGATCAATAAACACAGCCATTAATGGACACTGATAATTGTGGCTGTGTTCCAGAACTTGACCGAGGTGAATAGTCGATACACCCACCTCCAGACCTGGAACCTGATTAGTTTTCTTAAGTTTGTGGTTTCTGAGCTTCACCCAGATGTCTAATGATGGTGGAACCTAGAAATGTAAACAATGTCCGTCCTAACAATTCGCTTGCGGTTATCGCAGGGGGATTTCTTCTTCTAAAAAACTGGAACAATTGGGGATTGAGACCAATGAAAGGGGATGTCTGATTCCCATACGTCAGCTAACATTTTAGATAATGTAGCTGCTAGTCCTCGAGCACGTGCGGGAAAAAGAGCGTGAAGGAAACAGTTCGAATATATACGTAAAGAATCATAAAAGCTATAGGCATCCCTAACAGTTACTCAACATGTGACTTATCCATCTGCAGGCAGATTGGTGACAGGAAGAAAGTTATTCGACAAGCTTGTTTCAGTTTATAGTATCATTCTCATAGTTGATAAACTGCTATTTTGTGCTTCCTTTATCATATTTCTCCGAATGCAATCAATATCGACTTTGTTGCACAATTAAAAAATTGCAACCCAACTCTTCACAGATTTTATGTACTATGCCACGAACTTTGCTGTATAGGGGTTTATGATATTACCCGGAAGCGTAGGCCTAAGAAGGTGGCAGAGTATTTAAAGCTGGAACTGATAGTATGAAAATCGATTGTTCAAGTTAGTAAGCTACATTTGAAGATATTATTCTGTAAATAGCTTCTGTGTACCTTTTCAAAGACAACTTAATATTTTCTTTTGAAAAAGGATAATCAATTAATTCGCAAAAAGTAATTTGAGGTAAAATATGCTCAGAATAAGATTGAGATGGCATTTGACGGTGCCGATTGTTACACAATAAATCACTGACAAATATGTCCCAATTTGTGATCTATAAATGCCTTCAAGGTTGAAGATGTTATCTTGTTAACAGTTTATATGCATAATTTGTGATGGATAGGAATGGGGGCTTGTGTATTGCTCACCACACCGCTTGTTTGAAGCATATCAAGCAGTGATGTGGATTTATAAAGTTCTTTTAGGCGTTTCATACATCTTCAGAACATTATCAAGAACTGTGTCTGATAAAACACCAAACAATTTGTGCAATTAATGAGACCTTTATGGCTAAAAGACCTAAGAAAACTGCCAATTAATGATTCGAAATCTTTACATACGCCTGAAAAAGAACTGTCAAACATACGACCAGTATAATCAACGAAGATAAATATTTCAAACAAAAAGCAACAAAGAATTAGGTAAATATTTACAACGAAACGATACTTCAATAAGTGTCTAGGATGATATTCAAAAGTAATAGAGATTGGGTATTTTGGATCACTTTTCCAACGTTTGCATCTTCAAACTGTTCATAGTGGTGACAATATACGTCCTTGAACAACTGCACAAATCAACTGATGAGTTTACTTTGCTAGCCGACCTTCCTAAACGGAGATCATGTGTAGTTGAGATCCTCATTTCAATCAACTTTCTAAGATTCGTTAAAATTATAAGGCATTACGAACTTAATTAACACTGAACTGATGAAGAAGCAATGGAAAAGTGGATTTGTCTCTGTTTCTAATTCAAAATTTTTAAGAATCGATGGTTTGCACTAAAACTATCAAGGTGATGAATTTTCAGTTACCTAAGGGAAATTTGGCCAATAAGGTAAAGGCAACATCAGTGTGAACTCAATGATATTTATGAACGATCAAATTAAATACTTTTGCGATAACTATAATAACTAACAGTATTGGCATTACGATCTAATCATTCGACTATTAGTAGTTAATTACGAGTTTAAACCCACTCCAACAACTTTTGCCGTTGGCACATGGAACACCCCCAAAACCTTGTACACAAACTGCGAGGGTGTAAACACACATGTCTTGATGAGGAAAATATGAACAAAGCATTCAAGATTTTGAGATGTGAGAATTATTATATCACATTCCAAACATAATCACATAGTTTCCCTGATCACTGGTTCCTACATTTCTGATTACCTCAATCAAGCAGCTCTTATCTGCAAACAGCCTAAACTAATCTACACAATAAATGTGGTGTTCAACCTAACACATAAGCCTGAGTTGCGTTACTTTTTTTCTTTTTTTATTGTTATCATTGCAACACATACCTTTCATACTGTATTGAACGCTTCTTCAAGTAAAGCACAGCAACACAATTTGATGGTAAACCTCTAATAAAAACGTTCTTTTCGAAAACAATATCATCACCGGTAGAATCGCTACCAGAAACGCAGAAGTTTCGAGTCAGCGGTCGCCATTTCTGTTCCAACCAGCCAATCACCTTATCCAGTTCACGAAACCAATGACTACAATCTGGGTAGTTATCATCTAAATACTAAAAAAAAATACTTATCTTAAACACAAACATTACATAAAACTAACTAACAGAGCTCAACGACACACTTTACTTGAAAAAAATCTACCAAAGGTGTATAAAACTTCTAAAGAACTTTTAAAAATAGTGCGAATACTTTGAATAAACCAGAGCACCATGTCTGACCGAAAAAACTGTGGTAAAGTTTAACTAAACACTGAACTTAGCTTGATTAATAGTCATAATTATTACATAATACCCACTTGGAAATGTAGCAAAATAAGTTAGTTAGGATCACGTCTCTCGTCAATTTTATGAAGTTTGCTGTCAAGAAAAAACAATGACAAGACAAACAGTTTTATATCCGACCGATAGACATTCCGAAATAGATTATTCTCCAGCACAAGAATAGTTGTATATGATTCTTAAATAAAAGAGTGCCTTTTTTCCGCCTCAATAAAACTCACAATTCCGTCCATGAATGGTAGGTTATCATTCCTATTCTCCTTATTTCACGATTAGATTCCGTTAATTGAAGATGTCAGTGGCAAATGGTTTGTTCACCTTTGTCTAACATCTGCCAGTTCTGGAGTAGTCTTATCACATCTTGTTTTTCGCCTTTAGTCTGTTACTTTTGTATTTGTTAAACCGCTGTTACAATTCAATACAACACTCCAAATACGAAGCCTGGCCTGATGAGTGGTATCATTATTTGGTTAATGTGTGCGACTTAAAGCATGGTGCATAAACCCATTGGTTTACAAAAATTACTAACCAAAGAGTGGCCTCAGGCAGCATAACGACCTCTAATACATAGGTAGCTAAGATCAATATAATCGAGACGTCAACGGGAAATAATGATGATAACACTCAACAATACAACTCGGTAACATTTCGCAAGCCTATGCAATAAAACACGGAACAAGATTAACATCTGTTAATCCAGACTTTGTTAGCTGCGGTACATGTACGGCCTGTCACCTAAACTTCAAAAATGCACTAATCTATAGTACAAAAGTACAAAGCTGACAGCCAATGAAAATTAGGATTAGATAGTCATGTAGTTGAATAAGAAATAACTAAGAATGTGCGCTAAAATCCAGAAAGCAAATTAACACGTACCGGTAAGACGTGAATCGACTTCACCGATACACTTCTATGGGAAGTTTCATCTTAATTTGGTCTATCTTTCTGCAAATGTAATTTCACTGAGGAATTCGATTAACCATACATTTTATCATTAACCACTTATATATATATATATATATATATATATATATATATATATATATATATATATATATATATATATATATATAATATTACCTGCATACCTTTTGTATGAATATCTTGTCAAATGATTTAGGCCATACAAGTAGAGGTAAGCCATGTGACAGGAACAGTGAAAGTTCAGATGACAGAGTTTGAGGAAATGGAGGGATAGAAACGTTGCTTAGTCCACAAACAACAATATCAACCTCAGTTGGATTTTCTATACCCGGTTGACTTGAATTACCGCAATTTCCAAAGCTACACAAAAACTTGTCTGTATTTTGCCGTAAATAAAGATGAGTCCGACTTTCCCCACTCATGACAAAAAGCTCATTAGAATCAGGAGCGATTAGCAAAAATTGTGAGGATGGAGATTTAAATAGAAAGGGAGAGTACAGTGCCCCCTGCTTCTGCCGACAATCAGTGATACAAAGCTTTTGAGATTCTATAAAACAGAAAGATGAAAGGAACTTCAGAAATGGAAGCAACTAATAAACACAGTAAAAGTTGATAACTGAAAAAAGTGTTCATCATTGGAAAAAATCGATGGACAACAACCAAATGACATTTGATTCGACATGAACACATACCATAAGCAAAATATCATGAAAAACATCAACTAGTTTGCCACTTCGGATCACTACATCTAGAATGACTAGAAAAGCATAGTTGGTGGTTGAGACCTCAATAAAACTAAACGTCAAACGAACAACGTACCTCTCAAACAGTAGCAATATGGAGGTTACTGCAACTTAACGAAAAAAATAGGGACTCTAACTCGCTTCAAATATCTTCTTCAATTCTTTTACCATGACGATTATTACTAGCCAATCCACCTGACAAATAAATATTATGTGGCAAACAAATACATGCTTATGGATACACAAACGGGGTTTGAATTTACAGAAAGCAAGAGCTTTGATAAATCTAGATGTATATAAGTTACTTAGCAAGTTGATGTGTGATCAGATTATTTGAAATGTATAGCTCTAATACACCTGAATACATGTTTGTATTTTTCGTGTTGATCCATTTAAAAACAAGAAAAACAGTGATTCGGACACTTATGAAGTCCATATCACAAGCCAATAAAGTTAATTAACATTGGTTTGGGTCATGTAAAACTTAACTACAAACAGCCAATGATGTTTTCAGCCTGTTGGTCGGGACGCTGTAGCGTCACATACGTCTTGAGAATCAATAGCCTAGGGTTCGACGAGATCCAACATTGATGCTGACCTTCATAGCTTTATGGTACTCGATAAGCTGAATGGACACGGTCGAGCATCCACGCCATTTTGCACACTGTCGCGTTACGTTGCACGGCACGTAATCGACTCCCAGCTAGCTGGAACGCATCGGTATCTTGGCCCGACCTCGCAAATATACCATTCCATCCGACTACGCTATTGTGTTCTTCCTTGGTCTCGTATTAGTGAATATATAACAAGTAGGAATAGTTAGTGACTGGCCTCCTCGTCTGTCGAGTCTGCACAAGGACAACTCCCAAAACGCCAACCAAAATCTGGGGAGACATAGTGATTGTAGATCACTTAGTGTGAATGTCAGAAAAAGACGGGTTCTATTAAAGGCAGGAGGCTAACGTGAAAGGCATACGGCATTTGAGTTCAAGAATAACTGCACATTTTAGGTTACGCGTAACACCATACCTTCGTCATCAGCATCAACTTTGTCCCCACCATAGTATGGTTTTTTGGATTTACTGATTTTCGAATTCTGAACAGATGGTTAGTTTTCCTATTCAACACCTTACCATGATATGAAACCAAGAGACGTCTGTTGTTACGACAGATACCTGGTGTTCGAGAGGCTAGTATTGAAACCTTGAAGACTTTTAAGGTGAGATTAGAACAAAAACAGCAAGCTTTTTAGCTGTTGGTTAACAGAAGATCAGTACAAACACTCAGAAATGCCAACTAAAGTAAGGGGAAGGCAGACATGAACTAAAGGAGCACGCCTTGCAGTAGCGTACGACTCAAACCCGTATTTGTAGGTTCCAATATCCAATACCCCAATCCAAGACTCCAATATCTGATATCTTTTTTACGAGCTTATGTAAACCAGTTGATTTCTCCGCGCTCACTTTTGGGTCTTGCGGAACGATTACGGATCTGGATTCCGATGCAGTAGGTCCAGCCACTCGTCTGCTATAGCTCTTATTTGCAGAACAGGAAGTTAAGTGTTGGTTTGCTTGCCTTGGACTGTGGTGCAGCTGGCTTCTTCAGATGTCGAGTTGCCAGACAGTTCTTAGGACTAGTCGCTAGAGAGGGTTGGGGATAGTGTAGAGAAAACCCAGAAAGTGTTTGTGTGAGTAAAGGAAAGAGGAAAAGTGAACTAATGGAGCAATCTACTTACACCCAAGTAAGGTGAGTAGGGGTGCAAATGTATGAAGAACTTAGGTAAGTGAGGCTAACTTATGGCAAGCAGAAGGGGTGCAAAGGGTTCAGATGGTTACAATAGAAAGAAAACTCGTTGGGGTGGCTTGACATCACTTCGCGTTCCAGCTATGCTTGGGTAGATTGTGAGTCTCTGCATGACTGTCTAGCCTCTTGTCGAAGCTCGCAACAGTTGATGCGGAGACCACCTCTGCTGGTAGTGCGTTCCAGTGCCCATAGACTCGGAGGGAGAACTGTGAACGCACATGCGTTTTTCACCCCTGGTATGCTATTCTATCGGGGTTTCCTCGAGGATCTCCGTGGTGGCCACTCGGTAGGACTCCTCTGTTTAGGTGACTTGGGTTACTCATTATTTTGTAAGCCATTGCTAAGTCGCCACGTATCCTTCGATAACTGAGGGAGTATAGACCTAGGTCTTTGAGCCTATCCTCATACGGCTTTCGTCGCATTCCAACAACCTCTTTTGTGGCTCGCCTCTGGACTTTCTCCAGTAAGTTCGCGCCTCTTTTCGGCCAAGGTGGAGCGAAGACGTTATGGACCTCGAAGTGGGGCCGTATGTAAGTCTTGTAGAGCTTCAGAAAGAGTTCTGGGGTGAGGGCACCCAGTTGTCCACGCACAAAGTGCAGTATCCCACATGCTTTTGAGACATCACCTGGGTAATTGGAACTGGTGTCCAGTTTCCCCGTCCCCGTTGGACCCAGGTCTTTTCCTACTGTGGTATGGGATAGACGTGGACCACAGAGATAGTAGGATGTTTTCTGGGGATCAGGAGTGTGGAGAAACATGGACCGGCACTTATCCAGATTAAATGCCAGTTCGTCATTAGTTCCACATTCCTCTAGTGTTCTGAGGTCCTTCTGTAATGTCATAGATTCCGCCTAGCAAGTTATTGCCCTCCATAACTTGACATCATCAGCGTATAGAAGAATCGGGGAGCTGATACGTTGCGGCAAGTCATTTACGAACAGTAGGAACCACAGCGAGCCCAAGATTGCCCCTTGTGAGACACCGGATGAGGATGTTCTCCAAGTTGAGTAGGCCCTGTTGAGCTTCGTGCAGAGCTCCCTGCCGTCTAAGTAGTTCTGCAGCCACGATAGCACCTGGCTGTGAATACCTAACCCAGCTACCTTATGTATTGGGATATGGTGTGAGACAGTGTCAGAGGCTTTGGCGAAGTCCAGAAAAATTACGTGGACAGGGACCTTGAGATCCCAGCGTGCTGTTCAGTGAACATGGGCCGTCAGGAGGTTGGAGGCACAGGACCTACCTTTCCGGAAGCCATGTTGAACGTCACGAGTGCTTGTTTCTTTTCCAGACATTCCTTGATAGGGTCGTCCATCACACCTCCCATAACTTTTGACATTGCTGGTAGAATTGCTATGGGTCTATAACAGTTGGGTTCTGTCTGTCTCCTCCTTTGAAGATGGGAGAAAGGAGAGCCCGTTTCCATTCTTGTGGGAGCTTTCGCTCATCCAAGGAGTGTTGGAAGAGGTTTCAGAGTGGGCCACTTAGGTTACTTGCACATTCTTTCAACACAGATAGGCGAATGTCGTCGCACCCTGGGGACTTCCCCGCGCTTGACTTTAAAAGCTGTCGAGAACAACAGCGCGAGTTATCTGTATTTCGTGTAACTCAGTAGCGTCGGGTAACGTTGGGTGCTGTTCGTGCAGTTGGCATGCGCACTTTCCTGATGGAATGTTGAGCTGTATGTCATATGTGGTGCTCAGCATTTCAGCAATCTCCTGTCCAGAGAAGTTTTCTCCCTTCGGACCTTTTATGACACATGCTCCTTGGCTTGTCGATTTTCTTTTTGCCGTGAATCGGTAAAGGTTTTTAGGGTTGACCTCAAGCCCCCTGCGAGTTTGGACCGGAACGACCTCCTGTCTCCCCGCACCCCTATGTTGCTTCGATTCCGTAGAGTCATGTATGCGTCATGGTCGTCCTGTTCTCTGGAGAGTCTCCATGCGCGCCATGCCCCTTTCTTGGCTTTTCGAAGGCGCTCAGTGCCCCGTTTTGGCCATGACGTTCGCTTTCTGGTTGTCGTTACCGCCAAGGGGACGTTTCGCAAGAAGGCCGCCTTAGTGATACCTTTTACCAGTTCCCAGTTCTGGTCGATCGATAAGGAACACCAATCCACTAGCCACGAAGCTGTTGAAGGGCTCTCTTTCATACTTTCGTAATTTGCCTTGTTGTAGCATAGGTAAGGACGAGTTCCCTCCCGTGACAGCTCTTCACTAATTACCAGGTCAAACACTACCATAGCGTGGTCGCTACTTCCAAGGGGGGCTTGTACCTGAACGTTTTCAACCAGAAGGGGATCACTAGTCAGTCGGTAATCCAGTTTAGATGGTTTGCCATCTGACTCTCAGAGGGTGCTGCCGCTGATTTTTCCTGCGGTCCATCCATTTGGAAGGCGTTTAGCAAGCTACAGTCGAACTTCCGGCTCGGGGTAGTGCCACCTTGCTCTAGGCTGGGGGATAGAGCGTTGAAGCCTCCAGCTATTAAAATCTGGTCGTACCCTATAGTTGATACTGTGGATATCGCTTGGAGTAGTTTTTGGTTGTTCCAAGTTGCTATTAGGGGACCTACAGATTCCTGCGACTAGGAATTTGGTGTGTTTGACCGTCAAGTGGCACCAGATAGAGTCTGGGAGCTCTGTCAGTGCCGTGTTAGTGGTTTGTTCACTTCTGAACCACTTGTTCACGTATATTGCAGCCCCCTTCTCCGTTCCTATGTTCTCCATCTCTCCTGAACAGAATCATGTCATCTAAGTTAACTTCAGTGTCATTTTTGTCTGGCGACAACCACGTTTCCGTCAGGATCATGATTTTCGGGGCGAGGTAGAGACAGAGGGATCGGAGCTCTGGCATTTTACTTCGGAGTCCTCTCACGCTGCTGTAGAGACACTTGGAGGTATTTCTCGTAACGTGAGATGTCTCTGAGCTAACTAGTGACACTGGTTTGGATGTGGGTGTAGCGGCCAGAATCCAATAATCTTGGCCTGAACGCGGGAAATAGCTAGGCGGTGCCAACTGACGTGAATCTGACTAGTTCCTGCGTTCTACTGTATAGCTTCCTAACTTCCGCGAGTGACGCACAGTCAAAGGTTGGATCGAAATATCAAAACACGGTTCGTAGTAATTCAATAGTAGATTCGTAACAAAATCTGTGGTACTATCAAAGCAACAATAAGTTATGTCAAATTACAAAAATACCTCAACAGTGCCGTTGGGTAACTATACAGTCCAAAACGTTCTCGGGTACAAATACGTACTACACGGTAAAAACTGGTTAAAAAATACAACTGTTAAATACCTGTCGGTCAATAGGAATATTCCCGGCAAAAGGAATCAAAACTCTGTCTACAGGAATCAAATCAACAAACAAACGTTCCCAGTAGACAGTCAAAAGACAAACAGTCAAATCACTGCACAGCCGTAAGTTGAACCAAAACAAAATGTCGTGCGCAGTAAAACAACATCACCTTATCAACAGTCCAGCGTCACATAATAGGAAAGTGAAACACTTATAATAAGTCTCAAACATACAAAGGCAAACACCGAGTGTAAAGTCAAATAAGACAGTTAAACAAGCAAATAACATTACACCGGCGAGGGTCAAAGGTACACCATCCACAACGAGGGTAAAAATGTTAAAATAAATGTCAATACAATCAAATAAGGGTGATCGGGAGGGATTTTCAGATCATTTTTCCGTTACAGTGGGGTTTTCTACTGACTGGCCAGTTCCAGTAGAACTGGCCCAGTTAAGTTTTTTCCCTCGTCGACTGGTGCATTCGGTGTTGAATGGAGGCTACTGGTCTGACTCTCAACGTTTTGGTTTAAGGTTACAGTGGCCTGAGCACAGGGCGTAACTGTTGTCTGTTGTTGCTGCAGTGTTCTCTGTCTGCTTTCACGGCAGCAAACGTTACCGCTTATGGTGCTCTTGACTTTGTACCACGTCTCCAGCACTCTGGTGAGTATTTCTGGGGATTCGAAGTTGACAGCCATTGGTCTAGGCGAGGTCATGGTTGTCAGATGCAGGGGGCGTGGTAGTTGGCTAACTGTAGCAGCTGCAACCCCGCTCAGCTCTATTCTAGCCGATAACCACTCCCATTGTTTGACGTCGTGTGCGTACTTCTCACCTGAAGTACCGGTCGCCGTTTCAGGTATTCCATGTACGACCATGGTTGTGGGTTTTAGTGGGCCAGCTGCTTCTCGAGATGTCTCTCTTGACACCTATGATCGGTCAGGTCTGGCTCTAATGTTGGACGATCTGTTGATGACCAGGGTGTGTGACAGTAAGAGGAACTTTTCAGCGTCTCTAGTTGAGCCTAGAGTCACTCTCATCAGCGGGGGCTTCCCTGCGGATAAGTGGGTGCCTTTGTATAGTCGACACAGTTTTGCCTCGAGAACGCCCAGACCTAGCATGGCACAAAGGGAATCCCACTGCTGCCTGTCAAACTTTTCCTTATGTTCCAGAAGGCCATCATCACAGATGGGAACGTTAAACAGAATGACAGAGGTAGATCGGTCAGTGATGCAATATTATTCTATCCTATAGGTGCTTTTTCACAGGTGCTTCGATTTTTTTTCCATCCCGACCCATTCTCTATGTTGTCCACTGGTTGCTGTTTCTGGTATGGCTCCATGGTTTGAGGTGGATGCAGTTGTCGTTGGTGAAGGCAGTGTTTTGCTCGGCTTAGAACCTCTCCGGTTTTTGACCTTCAGTAGGCCATTGCCAAAATCATCTTGAGAGTGAATATCCTCTGTGACAGTGGTTTGGACGGATGCCTGCTTTTTGATTACTGGAGATTTACCGGTCACTTTGAGTAAGCCTGAAGCTAGGTGTGGTCTCAGACTGCACCGTGGGCAAATGCACCAAAACCGCATGCACGGGTGATGCGTCATAAGGCTATAGTACTGATGTGGCACTTCTTTGTCACATCGGCAGTGCACTCATCTGTTGTGGCTGTTGCACTCAAGGACAGCATCAGTTTTAGTAACAGTGAGGGCACATGTGTGGCAGTTGTCGTCATTTCCATGCGGTTTTTCCAAACGTTTATGCCCTGCTCTTTGACGTTTCCGCCTAGTGGTTCTCACTGGGGGATCAGGGTGGGCGCAGGGAGTAGCATGGGGCTCTGGGTTTACTTGACTAGGAGTAGTGACGTTTACAGTGCCGGGAGGACTGGTTGCACGGCTGACTTCAAGTGTTGCAAGTGATGATTGTGACCGACAGGGAGGAGTGGACTTAAGTGGTGCGTTCGTATCCTCAGTTGATTTCTTTGCCACGCTTTGGAGTCTCGTAGCTCCAGCCCTAATAACTGCTGAGAATAAGGTGGTCAGTAACTGTGGCGAGATTGTACTCAAAGCATTTCTACCGCTTGCCTTTTTCGGGGTCAGCACACTTTTACCACGCATATTAATATTAATAAACAGATGAAGATAAAAGGAGTACAGCAATGAAAATGCACAGTGGTAAACAGAAGACTTTCGGCCTTACCTTCAATTTTCTGCTCCTGCAACCCTGTCGAAGTTCAAAAACTACTAAGTCCTGGACTTGGATGTTATATTTTTGCTGCAGATACAGCAATCGAACAGTTGTTCGTTTGGAGGGTAATAATGGTGATAAAGTAAGCAGTGATATTTTCTGCAGCAAGATTGTTACAGAAAAGTTTAATAGGAGTTGAAAGCCCCTAGTAGATAGTTGTAAATGTGGATCTTGTCGAGATGGATGGGGACGTTTCGGCCACTTATGAAGTCCATATCACAAGCCAATAAAGTTAATTAACATTGGTTTGGGTCATGTAAAACTTAACTACAAACAGCCAATGATGTTTTCAGCCTGTTGGTCGGGACGCTGTAGCGTCACATACGTCTTGAGAATCAATAGCCTAGGGTTCGACGAGATCCAACATTGATGCTGACCTTCATAGCTTTATGGTACTCGATAAGCTGAATGGACACGGTCGAGCATCCACGCCATTTTGCACACTGTCGCGTTACGTTGCACGGCACGTAATCGACTCCCAGCTAGCTGGAACGCATCGGTATCTTGGCCCGACCTCGCAAATATACCATTCCATCCGACTACGCTATTGTGTTCTTCCTTGGTCTCGTATTAGTGAATATATAACAAGTAGGAATAGTTAGTGACTGGCCTCCTCGTCTGTCGAGTCTGCACAAGGACAACTCCCAAAACGCCAACCAAAGTCTGGGGAGACATAGTGATTGTAGATCACTTAGTGTGAATGTCAGAAAAAGACGGGTTCTATTAAAGGCAGGAGGCTAACGTGAAAGGCATACGGCATTTGAGTTCAAGAATAACTGCACATTTTAGGTTACGCGTAACACCATACCTTCGTCATCAGCATCAACTTTGTCCCCACCATAGTATGGTTTTTTGGATTTACTGATTTTCGAATTCTGAACAGATGGTTAGTTTTCCTATTCAACACCTTACCATGATATGAAACCAAGAGACGTCTGTTGTTACGACAGATACCTGGTGTTCGAGAGGCTAGTATTGAAACCTTGAAGACTTTTAAGGTGAGATTAGAACAAAAACAGCAAGCTTTTTAGCTGTTGGTTAACAGAAGATCAGTACAAACACTCAGAAATGCCAACTAAAGTAAGGGGAAGGCAGACATGAACTAAAGGAGCACGCCTTGCAGTAGCGTACGACTCAAACCCGTATTTGTAGGTTCCAATATCCAATACCCCAATCCAAGACTCCAATATCTGATATCTTTTTTACGAGCTTATGTAAACCAGTTGATTTCTCCGCGCTCACTTTTGGGTCTTGCGGAACGATTACGGATCTGGATTCCGATGCAGTAGGTCCAGCCACTCGACTGCTGTAGCTCTGGTTAGCCTGACGGTAGGTTGGGTGCTGGTTGAATTTGTAGGGAGTTTTTTCTGTCTTTCGTTCTTCCAAAGACTGTGGTGCAGATGGGTCCCTTAGTTGTATTGCCAGTAAACAGCAAAATATGTAAAGAGAAATCAAGGGAGAGGAATTGCGAGGAAAAATAAAGAACAAAAGGAGGATTTGGAAAAAGAAAACGGTACGGAAGAAGAAACATAGGTTGATTCATCGTGGAGGAGTGATGGAGAGAGCTTTTATTATGGTGTGAGAACATGAAGTCGGTAGGAAGTGAAGGATCAAATAACACTATAAGACAGCTGATGGGAATAGAGATAGTAATTCTATCAGTGTGGGAAGGCAACCGGAGGGGACGTCTTTGGGGAAGTATAAGGCTGAGCTAAGTTCACAGTGATTTTAGTGTTACAAAGTATTCAGTAATGAGCTGACTGTACAGAGTTAGTAGGTCGTGTCAGCCTAGTCCACATCCCAGCTGGACGGCCGCAAGCCTTCCATTGCTGCGTAACTTTCCAACCTCTTCCTGAAGCTGTCAACAGACTGAACAGTAGCAATCTCAGTAGGCAATGCGTTCCACTGGCCGAGAACTCGCAGAGATGAGAAATGTGAACGCACACGGTTTTTCTCCCTCCCGTGGGCAATACTCCTTGGGTTATCACGAGGATCGCCGCAGTGGCCATTAGGTAGGAACCCACTGTTCGAATGACTTGGATTACTTGGTATTTCGTAAGCCGTCATCAAGTCACCACGTAGTTTACAATAACGTAGAGGGGAGAGTCCTAGATCTTTCAGCCTGTGCTCATAGGGTATTCGCCTCGTTCCCACGACGCCCTTTGTAGCTCTCCTCTGGACTTTCTCTGGGAGGTCTCTTTTCAGATATGGTGGTGCAATGACGTTGTCGATATCTAAGTGAGATCGTATGTGGGTCTCGTACAGCCTCAAAAGGAATTCTGGGGTCAGGGTACCTATTTGTGTGCGCATGAAGCGCAGTACTGCGTGGGCTCTGGAGGCGTCCTCTGGATAATTGTGGCCAGTGCCCAGCTTGTCAATCACTATCAGTCCCAGATCTCCCTCGCGTAGTGGTGTGGGAAAGTTGTGTGCCCAAGAGAGAGCAGGGTGCCTTCTAAGATTCTCGGGTGCGGAGGAACATGGCTCAGCAGTTACCCAGATTGAAGGCTGGTCTGTTAATGTCCACCCACTCTGCAAGTAATCTGAAATCACTTTGCGGTGCGCCTGACCCTGTTTCCGACGTCACAACTCTCCATGACTTAACATCATCAGTGTAAAGGAGAATTGGGGAGCTGAGATTCAGTGGGAGGTCGTTCACAAAAAGAGGGAATAGCAGCGGCCCCAGAATCGCTCTCTGTGATACATTAGATGATGATGTCCTCCAAGTCGGGGGAACTCTGCTGTCTTTCGCGCATAATTGCCTGCCGTCCAAATTGTCCTATAGCCAGGAGAGCACTTGACCGCGGATGCCCGACCCTGATATCTTGTGAATAAGAATGGCATGCGAGGCTGTCATGAGCCTTGGGGACATTCAGGAAAATGACGTGAAAAGAAGTTTGGAGGTTCCAACATGCCGTCCACTTATCACCAATCGCCAGAATGTTTGAGGTGCAGCCTCCACCCTCTCTGAAACTACGTTGAGCATCACCTGGTGCTGCCCTCTTTTCCAAGTACCCCCTGACATGGTCGTCTACCTCTCTCCCCGTTACTCTTGAGGCCACTAGTGGAAGAGCCATGAGTCGATAGCGTTTCGTGCTCTGCCCGTCTCCTCCTTTGAAGATAGGGGATAGAACAGCACGTTTCCACTCTTGCGGAAGCATGTGATTGTCTAAGGGGTATTGAAGCACGTTACGCAGCAGACTGCACAAGGTGACCACGCATTGTTTCGACACATTCTGCAGGATGTCATAACATCCTGGTGATGTTTCTGTGAGGAGCCCTGATGGCTTTCCGAGGACCAAGGAAGAATTTACCTATACTGCAGGCGGCGCTCCTGCATTTGGTGGTACTGAATGCTGCTTGGGCAGTTGGCAGCTTTGGTTAGATGGAAACGTGTTCGGTTGCGTGTCGAAGGTGGCGCCAAAGGCTTCAACGACTTGTGGTCCAGAGAGAAGTTTCCATTCAGGCCTTTCAGAACACAAACCCCCTGGCTGATGAATGTTTTACCTGCTGTAAATCGATATGGGTTTTGGGGGTTCGCCTCAAGTTTTTGGGCAAGGTTCGTCTAGGGTGACCTCCTGCCTCCCCTCACTGTGATGTTACATCGATTTCTTGGGGCCGCATACGTGGTGTGTTAAACCCTTTCCTGGAAGTCCGGCACTTATCCCATACTTTCAAAAGGCGTTCTGCGGCTCGCTTCAGACAGAGGGTTCGCTTACTCGGTATTGCTGCTTTTACTGGAACGTTTTCAGAGATTGCCCTCTTGATGATATCTGCAACTTGTTCCCAATGCTGGTCAATCGAAAGGTCACTCCACTCCTGAGACCATGTTGTTGTCTGCAGATATTGGTTCATCGCCACGTAGTCTGCCTTCCTGTGGCAAAGACAATGATGAGATCCCTCCCATGACAGTTGTTCGTTGAATACCAGGTCGAACAATACCACGCCGTGGTCGCTGCCGCCAAGGGGGATTTGAACCTGAACGTTTTCAGCCGGTGGCTGGTTGCTGGTAAAAAGGTGATCCATTTTGGAAGGTTTTCCGCCCGGCCCCCAGCGCGCGCTCTAGCCAATGTTCTGCAGCAGTTCAGCCTTTTGGATGGTACCGAGTAGGTTTCGGTCGAACATTGGGCTTGAGGTTCCCCTGTCCTGCCCAAGATTGAGAGTTGGAGCATTTAAGTAGCCGGCTATAATGGCCTGGTCATATCCCATGGACGTCGCTCCGGACATCACTTGCAGCAGCTATCGGTCATGTTACACGTAGCTAGTAGGATTTTTGTTGGCACTACCCACCAGATACCCGGTGTGTCCAACGGTAAAGTGATACCAGATGGAGTCTGGCAGCCCTAAAAGGAGAGTTTCAGTTGATCGTTCACCTTTAAGATGATCACTTATAAACACTGCTATTCCACCTTCTTCCTTACACTCCTTGTCTCACCTGAGCAGATGCACACCGCCTATACCAGGTCAGATGCCAGCAATATCCGGTGACAACCAAGTTTCTGCTGGGATTATGGTCTTTGGAGCAAGGCAGGAACAGGGGATCGTAATTCCCCCATCTCACTTCTAAGTCCCTTCATATTACCGTGAAGACACCCAGATATGTTTCTAACAGCATGGGTCGTCTCGGTGGTGGAGAGCTGGGGTGGGTCGTGCCAAAAGGAGAAACTTGCTACGGGATGGCGGGCTCCGGTGGAACCGGCCCAACCACGTTTCTTCCCGTAGTGGTCTTCAGGGGTTTTATAGGGTCCAGGCTGGTTTGGATATCTTGTTTGTTCACAGTGATGTTGACTTCGGCACAAGACAAGGCTATCGTTTACTGCTGTCGCAGTGTCCTGGGCTTGCTCCCGCAGCAACGAACGTTCCCTCTGAAGTTGCTTTTTGCCGTGTGGCAAGTTTGTGGTACTTTGGACAAAGGTTCTTGGCACCCGAAGTTAACGGCTATCAACCTGGATGATGTCGTCGCCGTCAAATGGGAGGGACTCGGCAGTCTGCAGATCACCGCCGCCACTACTCCGTTTAACTCTTTCCCCACTGATAACCAGTGCCGTTGTTATAAGTCATGCGCATACCCCTCCACTAATGTGCCGGTTGTCGGCTCCGGTACTCCATGAACAACCGTGGCTGCTGAGTTCAACGCGTGGGGTGCCTCGCGAGACACTTTTCTCGCTGGACATAGCCTGTCTGGCCTGGTCCTAATGCTGGACGACCAGTTGATGACTAGTGTACGCGACAGTAGCAAGAATCTTCCCGCTTCCTTGGCCGAGCTCTCATAGGCGGGGCTTTCTACGTGGTGAGTAGTTGCCCTTGTGGAACCGACACACCTTTGCTTCTGGGCCACCCAGCCTTATTACGGTGTGCGTCGTTTGCAATTGCTGTTTGTCAGCAGGCTCTCCGTTCTCAAGAAGGCCTTCATGGCACACACTGACGTTAAATAGGATGATGGGACTCAATCTATCAGCAACATCTCTGTTATCGTGTACTGTGGGTGGGTGTTTATGGGGGGGTGCACCTTCTCCTCCACCGTGACACATTTTCCCGATATACGATGGAGGTAGCCGTTAAAGTGACTTCAAAGTTAGGTACTAATGTAGTTGGTCGTGTGCCTGGTCTTCGTTTGGGCCTTTTTGGACCATTCACAGGCGTGGCTGTCCGGGGAACGGTGCTGGCACTTGTCACTGTGACCTAGGGCAGTGGTCTATGCGGGTGCTGGCATCACTGTAGCCACTGTGGTACCTTTTACGACCTCTCTGAGTGAGCCAGTGGAGAACGGTGACCTTATACAGCACTGTTGGCAGATGTAACAGAACCACGAGCATGGGTAGCGCGCCATGAAGGTGTGATATTAGTCCAGTATGTCCCCATCACACTGACCATGTGCCCACCTATTGCAGATGTTACACTCAAAGGCAGCGTCCCTT